CTGGAAAAGAAAACTAGGGTGTCATAGCAAGGGAAATCCATGTTCAAAAAACAAGTCTTTTGATTTTTTAATACAATAAAGGTTTTACTGTGTTTACTCATCAATAAGTGAATATTGTTGAATACATAATATGTGCCATGTACTATATAAAACTGACATCATACTATATGATATTATATGACATCTTTCCATGAAAATCCACAACTGTCATCTTTTGTGATTACATGATATGTGCATATATAATATTTTATATAGTATGTTTGCAATTTTATTAATACAATTTAATCATTTTCACATGTACCAAGTACGCCGTTAAGAACAATTATTTGCTGAAAAATGCATGTTTTTCTTCCCTAAAATGCTACAGAGCCTTTATTATGGTTTCATACTGTCTCATCCTACAGGCCTTATAAGGCATACCAATGTGAATTGTTTGTCTAGGTCTTAACACAAGTTGTCATCACAACACCTAGAGAATCTTTAGATTCCTACTAGCAACCTCTCAAGACACCAATTAAATACATCACAATAATCCACATATAAAGTGACACTAAGTAAAATACAGTTGTGTGTGTGTGTGTGTGTGTGTGTGTTTTAATACTGTGGAAGAGATATCTGTGCAGACCACTAGGCCCTCAGAAATTTCACTGAGGAAGCAAGCCATTGCACTTTTTATGAGATTTTTGTTTCGTGCTTTGGCACACACCTGCCATCTAGATTATTTGTGATTTGAGCTTGTAGACTATATTACTTCCTGCACTTTGGGGCCTATTGGCTTAAAGTTGTCACTCTTAACGAGCCAGTAACACGTCTGGTCAGAAATTTGAAGCCTAAATCATGGTACAGAGATGGAGAGCTGATAAAAAGCTGAGGTAAGACAGTACATTTGCCCTAAATGTGCTGCAATCTGACTCTAATTTGAAATTTGAGAAAATAATATCAGTAATGGATGAGGCCTGAGTTGAATTGGCTTCAACTTCTCAGGTAACTTCCTCAGGTGGGATGTTCAAGGAAAGCATCAACCTCCTCGATGTGAAAGGGAGAAATAACAGGTCTAGCAGTCAGGGAAGCTCAATTCATCTTCATTCCCTCTTATTTACTGCACATATTTCCATTTTCAATATCAAATACGCTTCCTATCATCACAGACCAATCCTTTCTTATCAGTATCCCGCATTTTGCCAATCTCCTATTAAAGGTGTGTATCCTACCTCTGCAATTCAGAAATCAACAATTCATGAGATCAAATATTTACTTGATTTGCAGCTAACATTGCTATTGCAAAGTGTAGACACATTTAGCACTTTACTAAATATTACCTAAATTTCCTTCTGTGTCTCGAATAGTTTACCAGTCTGTACATGTCATCCTAACTGTGCTCTTCAAAGTATCTACTTAACTTCTGTTTTTAAAACCTGAATATCCTTCTAGGGCCTCAGTAAAAACAGTTTTCCCCAGTAAAAACAGTTTTCCCCAGTATACCTTGGCTTCTTTTAATTCAACAACTTTTCATAATTACCAAATAAAAATAAAAATTTATAAAAAGGCTAAAGCAAATGGGATACCAGTAAAATTTTAAGAAATCAGGCTTATTCCAGGCAAACAGGACACGTAGTGACCCTATCAAGATGATCCAGAATTTCTGTACGACTGAGTACCCAGGCAGAAGAAAATGAAAAGCATCTGTGAAAGATGATAAAATCGTAGGGATTTTTTTTTTTTAGCTATTTATAATTTTTCAAGTACAACATATAGCTCAAAATAAAAGATAAGCAGTCATCTGAAGAGGTAAGAAAATTAAGTAGGAATCCATAGAAACTAAAAACAAAAGAGAAAGAGCCATAGTCACATTAGATAATGGAATTATGAAACACAGATTATAAAATAGCTAATCCAAGTCTGAAATTTTCCACAGAGAATTGGATCTACCTGATTAAACATCAAACACATACTTCTATATATCCTAGAAAACAGATAAAATTTAGAGCACAATTAAGGAATTTAATATAATTTAGCTATATTTTCTTTAAACAATTAAAATATGCCACTGTCCTTTGGGATTCTAATGCTGATGTGAACTCTAATTGCATTTCATTTGTATTTAGTATCTTTGTAACTGAGCTTTACTTCCCCCCTTTATCTAGATATTCTGCAGTATCACTGTAATGCTTCTATTTTAATGCTTCTTCAATCTTAGAATTCACATCATCCATTATGAAAAATAATTATCCATAATCACTTCAAATATAGTCTGGCACTCATTTTTATTGTATTTTAATGGAATTAATTATAGATGAATGCAGAATTTTCTCATTCTATTCCCCATTACAATCTTTTTATCTTTTACAACACATTTTCATAATAATAACACATAATATTATCATTAATGCCAGGATCTATGTAATTTACATTTTATGTGCCAGGATCTATGTAATTTACATTTTACTCCTAAAATCATAATCAAATCTAAAAAAATACATTAAATAATTTGCTGATGGTTACAAGTTTGCTTTTGTGCCACTTTTGGCCGGTGTCTCTTTTTCAGCTCTATATACGTTTATTGCATGAAAGTTTAATATTTGTTATTTTTTAAAAATTAGTTTTGTTCATTTTCAAATTTATTTTCTTTTCCACAATTCATCATTTTGCTGTATCAATTCTATTTTATAGTTTGTCTTCTTAAACACATTAGTGCCCACATTTTAATGTATCTATTATGTTAATATAATATCTGTTCCTCGGGTGTTGAATCTCATGCTTGTTTCATCTGTGAATACTGTCTCATAAAGTTTGTTTTCTTTTGTGCTTTGTAATTTATGCTGTGAAATATTCTTCAGCTAATTTCCTTTCTATATGATTATCTTTGTCCTCTGAGTTATCTACTGGTGTAGCCTTCTCATCTTAGGTTACTTACATAACACAGTTAATGTGCAAATAGACCCATGACAACATTTAACATACCTTGAGTTCCAATTTCTTGCCAGCAGTACTCTTTACCTGACGTGGACTCAGAATACCAATTTGTCTATTAGCGAAAACTAATCAACCAAGGAAACCACCCTATATCAATATTCCCAAAAGATTTGTGGGTTCAATTTTGAGCTCTATTATGGTATCCTTTCCTTCTTCATTTCTAGGTGGTGGAAATTTCCTTTGTTGCTGTAGAGCTAAAGTATGCATTTATAATATTCTGTTTCCTCAGAACTTTCAATGTGTTTGGAGTGAGAGCAACAAGTGTCTTGGCTTAACTGTGTTCTATGTATCACTAGGATGTAGTAAACATCATTTACACCTAGAATTTTGCATATTGAAAAATCCTCTTAAATAGTTCTTTTGGCATTTATTATTCAGCTTCCTTAAATAATATAATGATCATATATTGGTAATTTAATCTCAAGAACACATAATCAAAATTTATATTGAATTTGTAGGTAATGTTGAAATATTACTACTAAAGACAGCTTTAGCCATATTTTCTAAGCCTGTCTAACCAACACACTAGCAATAATATTTTTTTGAAAAAGTATCATTGTTACTGTGAAATCTGATTAATACTGCTTTATTCCCTTATATATCCATTTAATTCACTAGGGAGAAAGCAATAATTCCACAACAAACTATACAAAAGTATATAATATCACAATAGTGTAGTATTTCAGGATAACCAATAAGACTTGGTGGAAAATACAGAATCTTAGAATCAGACTTATGGATTTTTTAAAATGTCTTCAAAGTTATTCTCACTTAAAAATTAATTTAATTCATCTTACTTCCACTTAATTAATAAAATCTGGAATATATTTCTTTTTTTTTTTTTTTCACTTAGTCAAAATTTATTTCAAGGCCTGAAAACATCCAGACTAATCAAAATGGTACTACTGTAACTTCTTATAAAAGTTTTTGAAAAATATAGACACAATTAACCCTTCAAACACCACACGATCCGATTCTCAGAAGCAATGGCTATCTAACGAGATATAAAGGGACAATAACATAACAACGAACTTTCACACACCTAAAGAGAGCATTTAGTAGCAAGCTATTCAGACAAAACACAAACATTTTCACATTTCCCATGTTTGTTAACTTTACTTCATAAAGCCACTGATAACCAAAGTTTCTTTCAAGTATAGGATTTCTAACATTATAAACTGTGTTTCTGACATTTATAAAGAAATAAAAAGTAAAACACAATCCAACTGTATTTATGAGTCCCTCTTCTCCAACAGCTTTAGATGTTTTTCTGAATACTTTTTACACAAAATAAAGTCTTTTATTAAAATCAGTTCTAATTCATTTATGCAGATTAGGGAAAAATGATTCATAATCAATTAACTTTAAAATTACCCTCTATGTTTCTATCTTCATCCCCCTATCACCACCAAATCTGTTGCTACAGTGAGCAACGATGCAATATACTGTTTGAGAGGGCCCAAAGGAATCTGTAATCTTAATTTCCCACATATTAGTTAGTTGGAGAAAAAATTCACCGTATGAAGACTATTTAAGTAAAACTTTACGCTTTCACCTCAAGCTACAAGTACTTTTTAGACTAGCATTAAATTATATTGCACTTATACAGCTACACCAGTTTAGATTTGCCTTGGAACAAAATTAACTTCAAGGCCTTAAATATTAAAAATAAATAATTTTCTGACTATTTCATAGTTTAATTGGCTCTTAGTTTTGCTAGTGAGGGATACATTTTGTGTTCTTTAAGAAATTGGTACATGTAAACCTAAAGATGAAGTCTGTTTTGTTTTTCCTGAAAAAGGAAAAAAGAACCAAAGAAAAATGTTGAAGAACATTTTTGCCTTTTAAAAAGAAGCATTATCCAACAAAAAGGAGACATACAGATTTTTTTGAGACGGAATTTTGCTCTTTCTAGCCCAGGCTAGAGTGCAGTGACGCAATCTCGGCTCACTGCAACCTCCTCCTCCCAGGTTCAAGGGATTCTCCTGTCTCAGCCTCCTGAGTAGCTGGGATTACAGGTGCCCGCCACCACCTGTAAAGCAGCATTATCCAACAAAAAGGAGACATACAGATTTGAAAACACTTATTTCACTGTCTTCAACAACAACAAAAAAAAACAGGGGAAGTCCAGAGGACTTAGAACTGAAGTAGCTCTACACAAAATGAAAATGGTACAATGATGTGACTTCAAAGAAAATGACTAAAACAAAATTTCACAAACATCTTCATGTTTGTAATGTATTAATGCACAAAATACCAAAAATACAAAGTCTGGGTTTCTTCCCTGTAGGTTTATCATAAACTATCAATTTTCTATATAATGCATTTCCTTTTTGTTTTGTTTTTTTATAGAGATGGGGTCTCACTATGTTGTCCAGACTGGTCTTGAACTCAAGCAATCCTCCCACCTCGGCTCCCTAAGTGCTGGGATTACTGGCACAAGCCACTGCACTTTGCCTTAATGCATTTACTTTTATAAGCCTTCTTTGTTTAGAAGTATACACTACACAATTACATACATGCTGGTATTTTACCATGAAAATTTCGTATTTCATCCCAAACTAGTGACTTGCCTTTTTACCCATGCTTATACACAAGTAATACCTTTCTAGTGGTACATTTTAATCAATATGTATTTTTTAAATCTTGATTTTTAAACAAATATTTTTAGTGCCATGACATGATGGGCTTCATTTAACAGTTGAAGCATGATATGGTAACTACATTGTACTGTTTAATTCACAACTGCAGGAAAGTGTTTGATTCTTAAAACATAACGAAGATGAGAACGGACAGTAATAAACCCAGAAACACTAGAAAACAGTGAATGAATAAATACAATTTTTCATCAGTGGCCATTCATTGTTTTGCTTTTGGAAACCTGGAAGAAATTGTCTTCTTTGATTTTCAAATGTTCTGGTAAATCTAGTCGTTTCTTAGCTTCCTCAATATCACCTTGAATTGCTGAAATAAGTGACTCTAAAGAATCAAAGTTCTTTTCTGGTCTGAGGTAGCCAACAATGGCCACATTGAGGATTTCCCCATAGAAGTCCTCTTTGAAGGTATGCATGATATGTGTTTCCATGGATTTCTTCGTATTCTTGTAGTATGGGTTCCAGCCGATGCTCACCACCATCTTATGGACATCTCCACTTCCAACACTAGCCCAACCATAATAAATGCCAGTGGATATATCAGCTGGAAGATTATCTACCACTTGCTCAGGAAAATTAGCCGTGGGGATGCCCAGCTGCTTGGAGCCGCGGCCGAAGCCATGCACCACTCGGCCGCGGCAGAAGTAAGGCAGATGCCTCATAACGCAGTCCGCTAGGGGCATGGGCTGCGGCCCGGTCCGCGAGTCCTGTGGAGCCGCCATCGACCCGGGGCCTGGACCCCGGACCAGCCGCGGGGCAGGAGTGAGAGCTCTGCCTGCCGCGGGGCGCACCAGGGGCCGGGCGACGCCGACGACACGCCGCGGCGGATCCCTGACGTCGCCGCCCGGTAACTCCGGAGCCGCCTCTCGGCAATATATTTCTAAAGACCAGAAAATTTCTCTAGTTTTATCATCTCTACAATTAAAATTCTTCCTTTATAAAATATAATAATGAGGCTTTTTTCTTTATTTCCTATAATTAAATCAATATCAATGAACAATTATTCATAAAAGATCTTCCTTGTATCAACCATTCCTAATTAGAAAGCAAAAGACTGTGTAGCTAAATAAAGCCAATTCTTCATCTGCATAATAAAACATAAAGCCTATTTCCTACTTACTTGAGTATCTTACATCAATATATCAAATAATATAAACCATTCTAGGTTGTAAAAATAGGCTATTATAAAATTTGCCAATTTTATTTCTAAAAATTTCAAAACAAATGTTATGAGAATTTCTTAATATAAAACATACCAGTCTAACACAACCTATAATGACTCTGATAGATTTATATTTGCATCATTTGTACACAAAATAGTATGAAATTAGTAGATAAAAATACGATACTAATTGTGTTCATCATGACATGTATAGTTTGATCCTATTTACCTTAAACTTTCAATTTTTTCTTTTATACTTTAAGTTCTGGGGTACATGTGCAGAATGTGCAGGTCTGTTACGTAATTATACACTTGCCATGGTGGTTTGCTGCATCCATTACCCTGTCAACTACATTAGGTATTTCTCCTAATGCTATCCCTCCCCTAGCCCCTTGCTCCTGACAGGCCCTGGTGTGTGATGTTCCCCTCCCTTGTCCATGTGTTCTTATTGTTTGACTCCCACTTATGAGTGAGAACATGCGGTGTTTGGCTTTCTTTTCTTGTGTAAGTTTGCTGATGTGCTAGCCTAACTGACTCCATCTTAGGTTCCTCTCTATTTTGTTCCTCCAAAGTTCACTGACAGGTCAGTCTGTATCCGGAACATTGCAGCCAATTCCTGTTTGGCAACCCCCTTGGTAATGGTATGGAAACACCCTTGTCCGCAACCACTTCCCCTTAATCAGTGTTCTTCAGCTTCTATAAATTTGCCACCCCTTTCTCTAAGCAAGGTATAAAAAGAAATCAAGCCTCTTCTTCAGGGCTGAGAGAATTTTAAGCATTATCCATCTCTTGGTTGCTGGCAATGAAGGACTCCTGATTCAATCTCAGAGTGTGGTGCTTTCCTTACAACTCGCTTGGTTACAACACTGAGAATGATGGTTTCCAGCTTCATCCATGTCCCTACAAAGGATGTTAATGCATCCTCTTTTATGGCTGCACAGTATTTCATGGTGTATATGTGCCACAGTTTCTTTATCCAGTCTATCACTGATGGGCATTTGGGTTGGTTCCAAGTCTTTGCTATTGTGAACAGTGCCAAAATAAACATACATGTGCATGTGTCTCCTTAACAGAATGATGTAATCCTTTAGGTATATACCTAGTAATGGGATTGTTTGGTCAAATGTTATTTCTAGTTCTAGATACTTGAGCAATAAGGACATCATCTTCCACAATGGTTGAACTAATTTACACTCCCACCAACAGTGTAAAAACATTCCTATTTCTCCACATCCCCTCCAGCATCTCTTGTCCTCTAATTTTTAAATGATTTTATATTAATTGAAGTTCTCTTCCTATCATCTCAGGGCACGCTACAGCTGTGGCTCAAGTAGAGTAGAGTGTGTATATGGGGAGGACATAGCCTCGCACAACTCTTTTCTCTCTCCCTTTTCTCTCAGACAGCTTCTTTGAGTACGCAGCACGAAAGAGGGAGAGAGAAACGGCATGTGTCTTATGTGATTGTCTGTTGTGAGATGGATGTCCACTTTCTTTTGTTTGGTTTCTTACCAAATGGCTCACAATTATAGATAATAGATACAGAAATATAGATATGATATATAGTATTATATATAATTTATATATAATAGATAATAATTTTATATATATAATTAATTAATCTTAAGTGACGTCTTAACTTACAGTTCAGGAAAATCTACCTATACATTCAGGCCAACAATGTAGAAGTACAGTAAGGTTCACTTGCTAGAGAACTCTAAAATCTCTCTTGTGCCTATTACTCTACAATTCTGACTTCATGGATTAGAAGAGGAGTTCAGTCAGCCAAAATTTTGGTAGCTGTCTGGGGCAGTTGACTGGGATAAATAGCTCTTCTTCAAGAATTACCATCTCCCTCAAAAAGGCTATTATTGCCTTGCCTACTGTTTTTCCCTTCTCTCTTTTATATAGAAGAGAAATCCCATATTATTAATATCTCATAAACAGAAATATTAACATAAAATATGTTGATGTATTTTAATAATATATTAATTCTACTCTCTATATATATAAAGTTATATATATATATATGACTAAGCTTCCTATAGTGACTGTTTTGTAAAGGATTAATAATACTCTCTCATATATATGTATGTATGTTACTTTGTCTCTTTAGATATATAGTTTTATTTATAAAAACTTTCTATAGAGATATACATATATTTTATATTATGTATGTATAGAGATAATATATATATTTATATTCATATATATACAAACAGTGAGAGAGAGACAGTATTATTAATACTTTATAAAAAAACGAATATTAGGAGGAGGATTAGAAATGGTAGAATTCAGCCTACATGTTGGGGAATTGCTTGGCCACAAAGTTTATTTTAAAGTGTGGAGTATTTCATTTCTTTTGTTCTCAAATTTGCATTTTATTTGCAAGTCTGAATTACAAAAATTAATTTCACTTTACTTGTCTCAGGCAGTTTTCTATAGATGCTCAAAGTAAAACTTTTTAAGTCAGGGAGGTTTACTCCCCTAGGTGTTACGCTATCATTACTCAGATAATCACACATCTCAGAATATTCCCCAATAGATTACAACTTTCAAGAACACAGTTTCTGGCAAAGAATAATTCCTTAATAAATAATATTTACTCATGATTTAAATGATAAATCATGTTAGAAATAGTAACACTGTGCAAAGAAAAATGGAAAATGCTTAGGATCATAAACTGATTTTCAGCAACTACTGCTACTAATTTAGAAATGACACACAAAGGCAGTATAACTTAAGAGTAATTATAAATTTTGGAATAATTCATTTGATTATGTTTTTGGCATATAACCCATTTCTCCTTCAAGAATTCCTCAGTGACTACTCTAGCTCTTTAGTATGTATAATACTAGATATTGACAGGTCATCAACACCTCATTAGGAATGTGCTAACTTCTCAAAGAAAATATATTCCATATGCTAGATTCTTAATTGTGACATGTATGGGAATTTGGGCTATATTCAGCATTTCAGAGAAATAAAATATATGCCTTGCAATTAATGAAGAAGTACACACTTGTATGGTTAAAATGATAAAAACATGCCATAAGTTTCAATATATTTCAAAAGACACCCCAATGTGACGTATGTTCTTTTTTTGTTACTTTTTCTCTGACTGCCAATTTATAGCAGAAGTCTGTCAATCTTCACTGTCTTTCAAAACACGTGCACTCAACATTCATTCCAGATTCTCAATTTTAAAATAATTTAATCTAAATTTTGGAGGTTATTTGGAATTATCTGAGTCAGTAGACATAGCCAAATCACTCTTATGAATAAACACATGAAAGTAAAGTATATTATACTTCAAATTGTTTAAGTAAATACAAATATCATCCCAAAGTTTAAAAATATACTCACATCCACAATTTGAACTTAATTTTAACTTAACAGAATTTAACGGTAGTGTAGACTTGAAGTAGGGAATTCACGACCTATAGGCCAAATTCAATCCACTGCTTATTTCTGTAGAGACAATTTATTGGAACACAGCCACATTTATTTACTCATTTCAGAAAATTATCTTGGCTGTTTTCATAAGGTAACGAGAATAGAGTAGCTGCAAAAGCACACAAAGTTGCATATTTCACACAAAGCTTAACATATTTTCTCTTTAATTTTTGCTGTTTAACTGACCTCTGGCATAGACTGTGATTAGATAGACTGTGATTACTTGTTTTTTTGTTTTGTTTTGTTTTGTTTTTTTAATGTTGAGATTTCCATTAATTGAGGATACAGAGTAATAGATCTGTAGGTATAAGTCATATTTCTTTGACTTGTATAGCACATAAAACTAGATACTTTTACTTGGACAGTTTTAACTTTGGACTTTGGACATCTTTAAACCTTTAGCTGTAAGTAAATTACAAATAAAACATGGTTGTTTTAGAGACCTAGAGTGTTATTCTTGTTTTCACTTTCTTGTTATTGTTAAAAGGAACGAGATTAGTCCAAAACTCTAGTATACAGTCAGCACATTTCTGCATATTATAGTTTGTCTCTTTTGAGCTCACAGACCTCCAGGATAGTAGAAATTAAATATCAGTATGTCAGTTTGAAGATTTTTCTCATTGCACAATTATTAAATATAGGAATATTTCAAGTGTTAGTTACCAATTTCTACTACTCTCTCGTAACTTATTAATTGTATTTATCTGGTTTCAGCAATTAATTCACACATGTGATTCCAAAGCTGACCAGCATTTTGTATGAAACTTAGTTCATCACGAGACAACATTCTATCCTATTCTATTCTCTAAGCCTTGTCATGTTTGTTGGATCTTACTTCTAATTCAAGGCCTTTCATGGGACTTGTGAATCACCGGATTCTTCCTATAATCTGCTGTGGTAGCATAATATCTATAGGCCCCCTTTATCTATTCTTGCTCTATAACTACTCCATTTTGCTTTTCTTGCAGCTTCTTTGTGGCTCTGCCTGGGAATAAGGAAAAGAAGCTCCTTTCTAGACTGCATTACTGCCTTATCATTATGACTATGTCTCCCTTCACTCAGTGTAAAAAACACCAAGTCCTACATTTCTCAAACTCTATCTTTTCTGATCATTTATTTACGGCCAGTAGTATTCTCCTTAAAAGATAATGGCCAAAAGAAATAATAAGGGCATATAGCTCTATATCTTGCCACATCTTTCTGCAAAAGCAAATAAACCAAATTCAACTTGGACTGAATGAAGGCGAA